AAAAATGATTTTAAAGTGAAGCAGAGGACAGTCTACGAGTGGTTTCGAGAGGATGGCCAAGTTAGAGTAGTTATTGGTGCCGAAAATCCTGCAAACGGCATCTGAAATCTATGATGATATACGCCTATGCGACGCAAGTAAGTGTAGATTGGTTATTTGGTCATATGAATTGCGCTTAAGGAATGAAGATAGAGCACTAGGAGCTAGAGCAAGATGGAGGGGTGATGCCACAATTGGCAAACATAAAGTTGGTAAGGGGACTTGCCTCCACTTGCCACTAATGAATTGTAACTCGACGTCTCACGGACAATACGGACTACGATACCGGCGTAACGTCTAGTCATTTACCAAGTCAATATCAGGATTCTGGAAATTATCTAGTCTACTATTACAAAATATGCAGAACTGAGTACGTATCCCAAAGTTTTCCTTTACTGCCTACAAAATTGCGCAAACGACATCAAACCCAAACTAAACTTGCATTTTATCATTAGAATAGACTACATTACTTATATTAATTGTAAGTAGGTTTCGAATCTATAAGCAGTCAGCATAGGTCAAATAAGGTGATAAGTGATTGATACTTGAATTTTCTCACAGTGATATGGGTAGGCCCACTGAATTTCACTTAGCCTTGCTCCCCAAAAGTTGACGGCAGTTTTGACCTCACCCCGGCTCCATCACAGAACCCTCATCGAGAATAATACCTAAACGTTGATTAAGCCTCGATCAACCAAAGATTTTAAATAAGGCATTCTATCAGTGAATTTCTGCGTTCCAGACAATAACCTGTACTATAACTCAAAAGGTTTTGTTATTTTTAGCTTATCCGAGGCTTAGACTAGGCTCTTCTCATCTATTGTTGGGCTTATTTCAGGTTGGAATTCAAGTGTTTGGTGAAGAGATTCTAATGTCGATTCTACTAGTAGCCGACGGCGGACTCCTTCACCAAGTGTCGATCGGCTTTACTGGAACGTTCATGTTGGTGCTGTTTCCGAGGTAATCTCCTTCGATTTAGGGGAAAACGTGCTAAGCTTCGTATGACGGACTTCATCAAAGTAGGGTATCATCCTTACAAACGTATTTAGGATAACGAGCCAAGAACACTCACAGGCTAAAATACTGTATATATACTCTATATCACACGTCTGGTTATGTTGAGCTTTTTTGTTTTCATGTAAGAGAGAAAGAGTGGGCTAAAAGTACAGATAAGTGACTAGTTAAGTCGCTTCCTTTTTGCAGGCGGCTCAACACCAGCTTATCCTTCAGTCTATTAATTAAGCACAAGTAGTTTTTACTAAACTTCTTACCTGTATTCCTTCCATTCAATTAATTTTCCTATTGCGTTTATTTCGATGTTTTCTCTGATTTTACCTTAAGCCTCATACATACCATAATCAGCAAAACGATAAGTTAGAGACCATTCAATCTTGTGTCCAATTTCTGCCTTGTGCTCAGCCAGCTTTTTGAATCCAACCGCCTCTTCAAGCGTCATTGTTCTCAGTCACCATTTGTTGAATGGGACGATAAGTTTCTTCAACATAAATCCACCGCATTAGCACATTATTGTATAGCAATCCGATCTGAATAATGGGTCATATTTCTCTATAAAAGTGTGCATAACTGAGAAAAGCATCTTAGTTTCCCTCAAAACCATTTTATTTTTCCATTTCTTTACTAGTTCGTCTATCATTTTAGAAAGAATGCATGAAGGCAAAGACGAAACATGGGGAAATGTCTCCTTATCTCCCCTTACGC